CCAGGGGCGCCGACGTTATGCCTCCTAATTCTTCGGCCCGAGCCAACTAATACGACTTGGAATACGAGGTTCGATATTAGATGAGTTCGCGTCGAAATGCACATCAAATGTACGAGTGGCTGTCTTAAAAATATATAAATAAGTATTAAATAATACGTGTTATGCCAAATTCTATTATTATTGAAAACGTAATTTAATTACATTATTTCGTAGTTTGCATAATTTAATGTAGCATAACACTATTGTATGTATCTAAACTAATCCGCCGTCTCAAAATATTCCCCGTATCGATCTTTTAACTTGTTTCACGGTTCACGCTATACCTGGTACACGAGATTCTATTAATTTTGATATCACTCTCGAGACTGATACAAAACTTTGTCCAAGACGTTTGATGGCCAGTGAATAATTAAGCAAGGATGATTTTCTTCCCAGTTCGGTCGCGCACGAAGGAAAACGGATCGGCTGAGGGATACAGAGTAGTGAAGTATAGAGTACAGGACTGCTGCCATCCGCCAACTAATCCGTCCCCTTCGGCGTATGGTGAGTGGCCGGGACGTATCAATCGGAAGGCTGGTATAAGTTTCCGCCGTTGTGGTCCGCCGGCACGGAGGTTAGCTGTCGTGGTCAGTTTCGAATTGCGGCGATGTCAGTGACAGCTGTGCTCGAGGGCCGCGTATTGAACTCACGTCCACTCACGCTCCTTTATACCTACTTACCTTGCCCTCTCTTGCCACCGCTGCTGGCCCTCTCTCGTTCTCCTTCTCGTTCCCTCTCTCGAGCATCTTTCCGCTCTCTTGAACGCTTCATCTCTTCTGCGCGCTCCTTCTAGTTGGGTCTGCCTAGACCCGCTCTGTCTTCATCCAACGAAATGGACGATCCGCCTGTTTTAGTTCTGTCTGATAACATTGATATGAACAACGGAAATGTTTTATTCGAGTTGTAAAGAAAAAGCAAATCGAAGAAATTTTTACTTTAGTAGAAAGCAAAGAACTGATTTTTAGTATTGTTACTATTCTTGAAAGTTATCGCTATCATCGACAATGCGTTCATTGAAGCTGACATTAAGTTAGAAAAACGATTCAGCCATTGACATTCAAACTGTGTTGGAACGTGAACCTGATGCCTGTTTTAATTTAGTCAAAGTGGTTGTTTTTATCAGAATGCCATCCGCATTATTCAATGAGACATTTATCTAATGTTTCATTGCGATCGATAACACGTTCGCTGGACATGAGTACTCAAGCTGTTTCACTTTTATTTCGGAAGAGTTTCGAAAATAAGAAAATTCTACTGTACTCCCGTAGTAGTACGTTTGCCACCGAAGGAGAAGCTAGAACAGAGGGAAAAAGGGAGCCGAGAGATGCTGTTTGACTCACCAATTACCAGAAACACTGGCCCATTGAAACGAGTATTAAACTTGTAGCTATCTTGGCGAACGCTATCCTTGATACCTCGGCGTTTCTCTTTCGTTCGGTAGAGATGGTAGCGGATAGGGAGAGCGAAGAAGAGGAAGGATTTCCTCGCGAGACGAGAGTTGGCTCCACGTTCCCTTCGCTCCGTTCGTCGGATGGACGAACTGAACTTGGTATAACGGCGGCAGGAGGAGCGGACGCGATATTACGCCGGAGTCGACGATGCTCCGGAGAACGAGACCGGTGGTCGTTAGGGAGAATAGAAGAGGGGGCTCGAGTCGAAGCATCGGTAGGTTTCGGGACGTTCACAGCGTTCCAGGACGGCCGCTAAGGGACGTTTCGACGCAACGAGCAGGCCTTATCTTTGCTATACGCTCGTCGCTTCGAGGAAACAGGGGGTGCAGCGTTTCAACGTTTCACGGTTGGCTTCGTTACTCTCCGAACGCATAGATCCGAGCGATATACCTGTTCCTATTCGGTACAAGTGCATGTACTTTTGTTCATTATAAAATTTAAAAGTAATGATGTATAAAAAATCTGGAACTCTGCTGTTGATACTGGGTTAAGTGAAAATTATGTTGTTGTTATAATGAATAAATGTGCAGATAATTTCATAAATCGTATTTGAGAGAAACATGAGGTCGACAAATGACAAGTATTTACATGTATTGTTTAGTAAAGTTGACATTTTATTTTTTTAAAAAATATAAATTGGTCAGTCAATGTTTCCATCAAACGTTACCGTAAGGAATTCTGATACGTACGTGAGTATTTTTGGGAAGTGATCGCAGTGGACGACGATGACAGAAATTACAGAAAGTGTGGCAGAGTGCGATCCGCGGCGAGAACAAGGACGGACAATTGGAAGGAGAAGTAGAGTGGCAAGGAGGGACAAAAACGGGGGGGACTTGACGATTTATAATCGGTGACGAATGAGTGCGATCGCAGGGAGCCCTCGTCTCTCTGGCGTTTTATAAATGTCACAGAGCAATAAAGACGCTCGATGGATTAGCTGTGAGCCAGGCATTCCAACGGCAACGGATTCTATTCTGGTGATTTGAAACCAGGCACGCGCGTCCAATGAATCAATCGAAGGCTCGCTTTTTTCTGCCGCGCGTCTCGGAGTTCTGATCTCGCCAAGACCTTTTACATCCGCCAAGGATGCACGCCTGAGTGAAAGACACGAAATTCTTTGACGAGTCCACTAACTCACAGCCTCGTCCTGTGCTCGTCCTTTCGTCTCTCTTAGGACTCCTAGTCTTTACGATACACGAACTCGCGTCGCGTCGCGTCGCGTCGCGTCGTATCCGTCCTCTCAGAGAGTCCCTCGGTGAACCTCGATCGTTCTTTTTCTTCGTCGACGCCGCGCCGTGACACGAACACGCCGTATCCCCGCTGTTCCAAGAATTCACGTACGCGTCATAAATAGTGGCCCGCTCGCACTCTCCCGGTTCCTCTTCCCTTCCACACCCCTCCTTTTCGATTTCTCGCACGTTTCGACATTTTCCAATATTCCAAACTGCACCGATTCCATCTGGGGTCCCTCCGAAGCTTCTTCAACGTCGCTTCCTTTACCTCCGTCGCGTCTCCTCTTCATCCCTCCTACGTCTGCCTACACTATCGATTCTTTGACTCCGAAGAATGTCAACTGTTTTTCGTTTCTACATGATGCGATTATTTTTCATTTTGCGATTACAGATTACATTCTGCAGAACGAATACTTTCAAATTATTCTAAATACGAAATGAGAATTAAACACAGTTAAAATGAAGTTAAGCGAACAGGTTTTCTATTTTCACGTTAGACGCCGACGGACTCGTTTCGTCGAATGGAATTGGCGCCAAAGGTTTTACGAGCATGCGCGGCTCGGTAGCCGTCCTTGACGTAGTGTGGGTTTGTTGTGCGTCGACCTTTACCTAGCCGCTCTCTCCGAGTCGTAGCTAGTTCCCTTAGCTCCTTCTCTCTTGGCCACCCTCTGTTACTACCGCCGCGCAGCCACCCCCGTCGCCAACCCTGACCTGATTTATGGGATTCTCCAAGTGTCTACCCTGCCGACGCGCGTTTTCGAGCCTCCCCCCAAGCCTCCACTCTACTCCTCTCCGCTTTCTCTCTCCAGCCTGCCCGCGTAGACAGCTGGCTAGCATTTTCACGAACACGCGTTTGTTGCTTCTCGATGCGTTTTGATTTCTCGTCAGATTTTGGCGATTCACGATACATTTCAACATACTTTTTCTTAATTTCCTTTCGATATTAAAGTCAATGATGAACTCAGTGACTCTTGACGAGTCACCGTTTCGTTCAGCACCCCCGCTTCGGCCTTTCTCCCCCTTCTCTACCTCTCCTTCTCCCTCTTTTTCTCTCCGTGTTCCCGGTAGATATGGCCGAGTAATATACGAGCCCTGCATCTGTTCCCCGAGTGACGCAACGTCCTGCCATAGATCACGCTCAGGCTTTTAGAGAGTGAAGGCTGTTAAGAAAAGCGCGACGAGGACAGCGTGCAGACGCATGGGAAAGAAGACTAAGAACGACGGAGAAACTAAACGAGAGCCGAGAGGCTAGCAGAGGGACAGAGGGGAACGGAGAAGAAAAGAGCGTCTCCTTTACGTACGGGAGAAACAACGAAAGAGAGGAAAAACATAGAACGTAGACGTAGGCCGTAAACGTAAGCTAAGGGACGGGCAAGAGAGAAAAGGTGGTTGACAGAGTGACATACCGTCATCTTTAAACTCGACTGCTACGCAAAGAGTTGCCATGTGTCGTGACATTCATGTACAAAAATCGACAGTTCTTCGTTTTAAATGAACAGACTTCCGCGAGTCGTAACGGGTGACGCGGTTCCAGAAACTTGTTGGTTCCTTGCGACGCGTCGAAAGAAACAGAGAAACGAGAGGAGGCTCTAGGGACGAACGAAAAGCAAGTGCGCAACGCGTGAACCAATTTAGCCGAGATATACGAGCGGGAGTTTGTTCGCGCTTATGGCCTACGTCTGGAAAAGGGGTGGTCTGGGTCGCGGAGGAGGGTTGAACGCGTGGGGTGCAACGGGAAGAGAGCAGGGTTGCCGCTTTATCGAAGCACCCTTATGCCTATTATGCCTCCTCATCCCTCGATGGTAGCGGTTTAACGCGTGCATCCCCCTTGCCGCGCTAGGCACGTTACCGACTAGGTACCGAGCCCGGGCCGAGTTGCGGCGACGTCGACCGACGCGAACCGAGGCCTGGCGATGCCGGGTGACGCGGCGCGCGAATTAAAACGCCTCATAAATATCTGAAACAAAGGCGGCCGCTTTCGAGGGCGTACGGTGGAAAGATATACGGCCGGTTAGGATGGCTGGTACCGGGTGGATAAGAGCGGGGTCGGGGGAATTGGTTGTGCCTGTAGTACGCGGGGGGACGCGGTTCGAGCGTTCGTCGTCGTTCGGAAAAACGGCTCGTCCGCGACGAAAGAGGCGACGACGGAGAAGGAAATCTTTTTGCTCGTTCGAGCGTGGTTTAGCGAAGAAAAGTATACGCGATTTTGGGCCGCTAGATCGGTTCCGTTGAAATAGCAGGACCATTTTTGTGACCATTCTGACTTTTTCTATTTCAGGTAAGTAGTGGTCTCCGATCGTTTGAAAAGCGGACGGCCCGCAGCCGCCGCACCGGACGGAAGACATGCGCAGCAAGCAGCAGCCGAGGCCTTCTTTTCGGTGGCCGCAGCAACGCGGCGATAATCTTACCGGTAAATATCTGAACCACGCAAAACGTACGAGCACGCACGCACACGCGCACGTATTTTCTTTTTTAATTTACCGCTCCGTTAGACATGGAATTGGATTTTCTTCTGTTACCTTCAGATTTTCTTTGCTTCTGTCTGCTTGAATCGAATGTCCAATCGTTCGTTTGCCAATCGTTTCTCAGTTGAGTATCCACTTCGCGAGAATCGTTTTCCAATTAGTTTACGATCTTCGTAAATGCGTTAGCGAATATTTGCTTGCATGCCTTCTCTATTTACTGAATCCCCGTCTGCGCAATGTACGACATTTATTTGATCGTAAATAACTTTGATCGATCCTGTCTTCCGTTTCTCCGCTTCTCCTATTTCGGCGGCTTTACGAGTTGTTCTGTTGTAATTCACAGATAACATTGTACAAGATTTAGAAAGGTTATTTGACTCGCAATTAAGCGATACCAAATCCGAGATCGTAGAATTTCGAAAAATCTTTGACCACGACACGGTTACACAGCGCGTGTGCGTTCCACGTCCGTGCGTGTATCTCGATGGAGAAATTAGAAATGTCCGGGGAGATTTATTGGCGGCTGCTCGCGCGGGAATAAGGAATCGTAGCGTCGCTCGTGTTCGTCACCGCAAGGATCGACGCGGCATCTCGTACGACACGTTCCCTTCGGCCGCGTTTCGCCTCGTGTTCTTACTTCGACTCTAATTTACGAGCCTTTGCACGCGGATGCTCGACGAAATGCTTTTGATGGGAAATCGTTGTCCGTTCGACGCGATAACGTATGTCCGTGTTCCGTCGTCCCTTGGCTGCGTGAAACCTGGCAGAATGCGACAACGCCACGCCGCCAAATGCAGGCGGCCACGGCTGGGCGCTTTCACTTTACCGAGAACGAGAGTCGCTCGCTCGAAATTTACGACGTCTGCGGATGGATGGACTCTATTCGTTGCCTTAACGCGTTTTCGGCTACGGTCGTCAGCCAGTCACGGTAGTTCAGTGGAAAAGATTCTGTGCTACGCCTGAATCGCTGAAATGATTGACGAATGAAACGAAATTAGTAGTTGTCAAAGATGTATAGGTAGAACGGTACGCGCATTCCTGAATGCTGAAAGAGACGGTTGGCCCGTACGAGTGGTCAGACGGAGGCTGTTCGCGGGTACCTTGGATGACGCCCGAGACAGGGCAGAGATATCGAGCGATGCGATCGCGGGGCAAAGCGAATAACCGACGCGGATAAAAGTACAAGTCCGCGTGCGTGTGCCGGACAAACGGGGTCGCCGTGGGACACGCGACTCTTCTCTCCAATAAGCCTCCCAGCAGAGAATCGTGCCGGTCTCTCGGCCGGCGATAACCCTCGAATGACGTGACAAGCGAAATCCTGTATCTACAGTCCGGCTGGCGCGGGATATCGGCGGACGTCTAAATGAACCGTTGTACCTTCTGCTTTGATTTCAAAGAGCGGATCCCTAACAGCGGAGGAATATTCATTTAAATATCTGTCGATACTCGAGTCCGACGCGAGGGTTGCACCGATGTCAGCGACGGACTTATATGCCCTCCGCGTTCTCCGTTCTACCCTCTCGTGCCTCTACCAGCGTCCGATACCCCCCCCCCTCTCCGTCCCGCGCCGTACACCACGGCCGCACGCATACCTACCTGTCTACCTGCACGCGTTATATCTATACACGTCCACCTGGCCGACTGTCTGATCTCTGTCGCGGATATACGTTCGATCCCGTACACGTATCTACTTTGTTCTCGCCATTCGTGCTCCCTCCGTTCCGGCCCTTCGTCCCTTTCGGTTCCCTTCCCTCACGCCACTCGTCCCTGGTTCCTTTTAACTCCTTTGGCTCCACCGGGCATTCGTGATCCCACTTGCAATTTGGCGTTTTACGAGCATAGTTTTATAAACGTGAAGTCCATCGACGGATCGGTAAAAATATGAGGGAATCGAGCGAAACTGCGAAGCGACGATTCATGGGATGGTGAACATCGTATCGGCGACCATAGGTGGGTGGCTGAAAACCGGAACGGTTAGATTTGCGCGTCGGCGAAGGTGGACAGGAACGAGAGGACAGGCGGCTGCGGCAACGGCAACGACAGAAAGAGAAGAGGTAGCCAAGGGGTGTGGAAAGGAGCACTTTGCGTGCGTCGTTTAAGCGAACCTTAATGCTGCCGTAAAACGCGCTAACGACTGACTCTCGGCTCTTCTTCGACTTTCACGAGCTTTCGCCGTCCCCCGGCTTCCGAAAGCGTCTTCGTTTCCGAAGGATCCAATAACGTCGCTATAAGAAATTAACCAATGGTTAATTCATTTTTTCTTCTTTAGTTATTTGAGAACTGTCCCTCATTCTTTTTGCGAATGGAGGTATCAGATCAGTCAATAGAATTTGACGTGCTTTCAATATGAGACTCTCAGAAGGGGGAGAAAACGGGAAGGAAAATTGGGGAGAGACCGAGGAAGGAAGGAAGGAAGGAAGGAAGACGCAACTTTCCTCCCCGAGGGTAACACAGCGTGCATTCCACTCCCTTCCTCTTTCCTACTCTCTCGCTCGTTAGTTTCTCCCTTCGCATTTCCGCGGGTAGTCCTACTAGCAGCATTTTAATCCACCAAACCGACGTCACTCCGCCGCCCCGAATAATCAGCCTGAAATTCGTTGCGAGCGTAGGCAGGCACGAATTGTCGCGAAACGCAACAAAAGAACGAGATATTAGTAGTCGGGCTGCGGCTGCTGGCCAAACTGTGCGCACCCACGTTACGAAGGGAAAAGTACCTAGATACGAGTAACGACTAACATGGGGAGGGCTGACATCGTCGACCGCAGTTGATTTCATCCTTCCGGGCTTCCACGACGGCGACGACGATGACGACGACATCGCGGAGATAACTACGACGACGACGGACAGCGACGACAAGTAATTAGGCCACGCGTTGGAGGAACTGGATAGCCTTGTACTTTGCCACCACGACGATCTCCTCAGCTATCGCGATCGGGATCTCCCGTTTACCGATCGATTAATAATCTCGTTCTCTAGTCGATGCGTATATATGCATACACGCCACCGCGCGACGTTGATTAATCGCCAATTTATGCCGGGACATAAGAATCGACTTTTTTCATCCTTTTCAATTACGCGTCGTCGTATCGGTAAAGTATCCAGGCTGAGAATTAATCGGAACGGAGAACGGGTTTGGTCGCGGTTAAAATCGTGCGCAACCGAGTGCATTCCCGAGCGAACTGAAAGTTTAAATGCGCCGCGTTGAATTTCTTTAATAACGGAAAGCGGTAAGTAGGAAATTGAAAAGAAAATAGTAGATATAAATACAATGTACTGTTTCGTAAGGGTGAGAGAGAGAGAAACATAATCGAGCCATTGTGGTACGTTGGTGCGACATCGATGCAACACACCAATCGCGATGTGTCGGTGTTGGGTTGGCTCGAATATAAGTAGAAGCGGGCCGAGGTACACGGGAGTGCAAGGAGAGCGGAATGAATCGCTGCCACTCAAGGAGTAACAGACGGACGTGCCGGACGGGCTGACAAGGCCGCGCTCGTTCGTAGCTGTTCACCGATGCCGCGCGCCACTGAAACGCCATCCGCGAATACGCTTCCAACCAACCGCGTCGATATAACTGTCCACTACTGATAACTACGACGAGTTACGGTTGCTAAGCGCGCCATCGTTCCCGGGAGATCGCGACCACAGAGATTTCCTGTCTCGGCTCTGTGACTTTTCTCGTTCTCGTCTTCGTCTTCGCGTCTCGCTCGATCCTCTTCTATCATCCGCCTCCCCGAGTTCTCCTCACCGCGTTCGACGAGCTCGTGACGATTGTGGCGCGTACACATTCGGTCGTCCATCCATCTACATGTCTCTCATACACAACACTGATACCACACTCTCGAATGCGGCTTAATTATAATACGAGGATATTTATTACCGAGCGTATCGTCTATTTCCGTCGAGGACCGTAGGAGGACCGGTCGAAAAGGGGGCAAGCGATATCGCGACGGCGACCAAACTATTCAGATTCGACGAATGCGCGCACACACGGTTCTTTTGACGGGCAGGGTTAACGCAAAAGGAGGAGGATCATTCTGTGAAGAATCAACGGTGACGGACGAAAAATTTGCCAACGGACGGGTGAAAGTAGCGAAACGACGCGACGGGGGAGATTCGCGAAACGGAACCATAGAAACAAGAAGGAGGCCCGCGATTGCTGGAACGCGATCCACCGACGTTCCGCCGCGAGCTCGCGTGTTGTTTCGTTTGGATTTATGCGAGGGCGAACGATAAGCCACCACCGAATAATACGGTCCACCAGCACCTGCCAGCGGGCGGCGTGGCGCGGTGTAAGCCTCCCTCATTTTTAATTCCCCCGCTCGGTCTGCGCTCGATCTCGCTGGATGCTATCGCGATACCAGCCGAGTCTTTCAAACGGACGCACAATAGGACGCGCATAATCCGATCTTCGCGTCAAAAGCGTCCAGCTGCTTTCGCTGATGCCTTTTCACTTTTCCGGCTTCGGTCTTACGGGCTCCGAGCTTGATCCTTGATTGATACATGACGAATCGACGAATATCGCGACGCGATCGTTTTCCGGCGTTCGATGCGCTTCCATCGACGTCAATTATTCTGATTACACGCCGCGCCGTCCGCTTATGCTTGTCGGAGTCAATCGCCGCGACGCGACGCCACGTCGCAGGAATAAGAAGAAGCCATCGAAAAGACCTCGCTTTCGCCTCTCTCGTACGCGACGCATTGCAATTAATATCCCCGTCGCGACGACCTCGATCCGTCCCGATGCACCTGGCTTTCGTCTCGTCTCGCACACTCGGACGATGACTCGAGATGACGGGACTGAAATTAATATTCGGAAACAAGACCATCGGACCCAGCACTTGGATTTCTCTGCTCACAGTCCCGACTCCTTTTTGTTCGGATGCGTCCTACGCTTCCTCGAGTACTTAATCGCGTTGCATTGTTCTACCTTGTTCGATTTGAA